ACCTCACACACACCTCACACACCTCACACACACCTCACACACCTCACACACACCTCACACACCTCACACACACCCCACGCACACCTCACACACACCTCACACACACCTCACACACACCTCACACACACCTCACACACACCTCATGCACACCTCACACACCTCACACACACCTCACGCACACCTCACGCACACCCCACGCACGTCACACTTCCTGCAGACACAAGCTCAGATTCAGCTGCCTGGTGTTAGCATACCTTCTCGCAGGTGGTGCCCCTCATGTGTCTTTGTCCATGTGGCTCTTCTCGTAGCCCAGCTGCCTCATGACCTCGCTGCAGAAGGCCTCCACCTGATTTATCTGCTCCACGTTCAGCCGCTCCCTCCACGCATAGATGGCCTCCTTCGCGTCCCTGGATGATATGAGGAAGGGCTTGTCCGAGGAGTAGCCGCGACCGCGCGTCATGTTCAGCGCAAACGTGTCCAGGGCGGGGATGGAGGAGAGGTTGGAGAAGCGCTGGAGCCTCTGCAGCTGCTCCAGGGGGCGCAGGACCAGGTCCTCGTAGCGCACACGCAGGTAGTTCCTCCTGAGCCACGGAGGCGCGTTCACCAGCAGCATGATGTCGCTGAGCCAGTTGTCGCAGATGAGCTCCATGGCGCTGGACACGTAGCTCTCGGCCCGGTTCGGCCTGTTGCTCGGAACCAGCAGCCGCTTGGACTTATCGTTCTGCTTCTTGCTCCGCAGCACCTGGATGCTCTCCTTCACCAGGGCCTGCTTGGACTTGAGGCGCGAGTTGTGCACGGCCCTGGGGTCTCTGAAGAGCTGGATAATTTGGAGGTTGAGAGCGGGGTCTCTCATCAGAGGGACCAGGGTGCTGAGGTCCAGCACGCGCACTCCTTTGATCACCATCACCGAGTACTTCTTGCACTCCCTCTCCAGCTCCCGCAGCTCCCTCCTCTGGCACTTGCCGCACTGCTCCTCTCGGACCAGCCCGATCTCGTGCCGCCTGTGCGCGTGGCACAGAGGCTCGGAGCAGATCACCTTGTTCATCTTCCAGCCGAAGATGAAGGCGGTGCTGATGTTGTGTGAGCCGGCGTACAGCTGGAGCACGGAGAAGTCGCAGCGGTACAGCGCGCTCAGCATGTCCCGCACCGCGCCCTGCAGGCTGCCCGCGTCCCCGGGGTACAGCGCCTGCCAGATGTGCCACATGGGCTCGTAGAGGTAGAACACATCCGGGTGCTGGTTGAACAGCTCCCCCACAAACGAAGAGCCGGTCCTCCACGTGGCATGCAGGTAGATGTGTGTCCGGGACCGGCTCCTGTTGGCCGGGTATTCCGTGGCGGTGCTGCCGTTGGCTCCGTGGTCCCACAGCAGGGCCACGGAGTTCTCCAGGTCCGCACATCTGGGCTGCTGCTGCTGCTGCGGCCTGAGGCGCGCAGCCGATTTATCCCGGTAATCTAACACGTACGGGATGAGCAGGAGTAAACCTGAATACGCCAAAATCAAAATGATGTACTTCTTGTGTAGCCTCCTCTTCATTTCCGTTGAGACAGAGAGAGCGCGAAGGCGGAGACTGCGAGTTCCCTGAAGATCTGCGCAGCGACGAGCGCACAGCCGCGTCCACACGGAAAGTTTCTGTGTGTGTGTGTGAGTGTGAGTGTGTGTGAGTGTGTTAGCCACGCCCCGTGGACGAGAAATAACATTAATTTTTCCCCCTGCTCTTTTTTTAAGTTACATTTACAGAACCCAAACGAAACTAGTCTGTTGCAGCGCACACTTTCTGCTGCGCTCAGTTTGGTTTTAACTACAGAGGAAACCCGGACCTGCAGGAACCAGAAGGAGCAAGGCTATGGCAAGTCCGTGTATCATTTAAAAGGTAAACAAGTAATCCCTAGTAAATCCCTCGCTACTTCGTGGTCAGTTTTTCGTGAACTCACTCTATCATGGTTTTTCAAAGTAAAATTGGACATGACAGCTGACTGATGGATGAGCCCCCCCCCCCCCCCCAGTGCTGACAATGGCTCTTGGCTTGAACAATGTGGTGAACAGTGGTGTCGGAAGCTTTGTTAATGTACACACTGGTGGTGGTGGGGGGGGGGGGGTCTGTGGGTTCTCCCCCAGAAAATTTTGAATAAAGTAGATGCCATTTCCTGCGTTCTGGTGAATTTTAAAAGGCTGTTTAACATTTAGCTTTGCCTACATAAATAACACTTGATTCATTAACTATTATATAGTTAATATCACAGCAAGAAGTAGCCTGACCAACAGCTGTCCTTGTGTGAATACAGCACGCTCCACTTCTCTCAAGCATCCTAGCCACAGTCTAAGAAACATACCGTAGTGTAGCCCAAGTTAACTTTTAGGAAGAAAAATCACTAGTTAATATGAAACAATAACAATAATCACTCCTTCTTGCCAATGGCCTAGCATAAAGCAATATGATCATCATCCATCATGTTTATTAGTAGCTTAAAATACCTAATTAAAACTCCAGTAATGGGCTAGGTCTATTGTAATGTTACCCAGTTGAAGGGTCAAGAGACAAACATGTAGCATTAACACAGTATGAACAACATTCAGGAATTGTTTCTATAAGAACATTATCAAATATTTTACACGAATGGTAAGATCGCTTCGCCTACGAGGAAATGTAACACAGGATGAGTTAACTTCGGACAAACTAACAAACAAGATATCTGTAATGGTGGAGGTAGTGAAGCTCACGGTGTTACCTGAAGCATTTAGTGAGGCATTTCTGTCTTACTGACCAAAATTAAGGCAAAAAAGTAACAAAAAAGCTACTAATAACTTAAAAAAGTTACTGCAGTAGATGTTTTCATGCCACAGAGCGACACAGGGTAAGAACTCACAGTGAAATTCAGTATGTAAGAGTGTCAATTTGACATACACAATCTATTAAACACTTTGTACAAAATCAGTTTAGTTTTAACAAAGACTAAACTTACACAACCAGAAGTTACCACATATATCTACATATAAAACAGACAAAAAGCACAAGTAGCTTTAAGCAGCTCTCTCAACCATCTGGAGAAGGTAAACACCTATGTGAGAATGCTCTTCATTGACTACAGCTCTCAGCATTCAGCACCATAATCCCCACCAAGCTGGTTTCCAAGCTCACCACACTGGGCCTGGAGAAGTCCATGTGCTGCTGGATACTGGACTTCCTCACCAACAGACCACAGGCAGTGAAAATCGGCAGTCACCTCTCCTCCACACTAGTCCTCAGCACCGGTACACCTCAAGGCTGTGTCCTCAGTCCACTCTTGTACTCTTTATTTACATGAGTATACACCCAAACATAGCTCCAACATCATCCTCAACTAACTGACTTTTCTGTGGATGTGAATATTTCTGTAAAGTGCCCTGAGATAACTTTGTTGTGAATTGGTGCTATAGAAATAAACTGAATTAAAAATAACCTCTCTCCTAATGTCAGCAAAACAAAGGAGATGATAGTGAACTTCAGGAAACAGAGTGGAGGTCAGCACTCCACCATCTACATAAACAATGCTGAGGTGGAGCGGGTCAGCAGCTTCAAGTTCCTCTGCGTTCACATTACTGAGGATCTTTCCTGGACAAATATACAAACACTGTGGTCAAGAAAGCCCAACAAAGACTCTACTTCCTAAGAAGACTAAAGGAGTTTGGTACAAACACCAGTATCCTCACCAACTTTTATAGGTGCTGTCACGTTCGTTTGAACCCACGTGCAGGAGGATGACGAGGACGCTCGAGGAATAATAAACAACATTTATTAAACAAAACAAAATCAAAACGCTGACAGGGCAGCTACTCACAGATTAATCGGACGGACGGAACAGAAGGCTGAACACAACACCATAGAAGGACAATCCGGAGACAAAGACAAGACAGAAGAGAGCTGAATATATACACACACACTGATTAGGACAATGACAGACACCTGAGGTGATTAACATGAGACACAGGTGAGACAGGGGCTGAACTCAAGGAGGGAAAACACAGAGAGCTGAATCAGGAAACATTAAGAAACAGACAGAGACAGGGCAAAACCCCAAAAACCCTACAGTACCCCCCACTCAAGGGATGGCTCCTGACATCCCAAGGACATGCTACATCCAGCTTGGGTGGGAGGCGGGACAAAAGGACAGTGCAGGACGAGTAGACACAGGACCAAAAAATAAATAAAACGACAGGAAAACCTGGGAAACACCAAACACAAAAACCCAAGACCCCAACTCAGGGTCAAGGTGGACAGTCAGGAGACCGTCCCAGGCAGGTCTGATGTTCAGGCGGGCGGTCCGGTAATCGTCCCCAATGAGGCAGGGGATCAGGAGGGCGGCCTGGGAACCGTCCATCCCCAGATCCTGGTCCCGACAGGCAGCTAGGAGACCATTTATCTGTGGGCTGCAGGGGCGTCCACCTGTGGCCACCTGGACTCAAGCAGGTGAGGACCTCTTTGGGCGGACCAGGGGCGAGGACCTCTTTGGATGGGCCAGGAGCAGAGACATCTGCAAGCGGGCTGGGAGCGAAGACTACAGGCGGGTTGGACTCTTCTGTGGTTGAGTCCTGAGTGAAGACCTTAGGTGGGCCGGGAGCGAGGACCTCAGCCGAAGACGAGCCGGGAGCGAGGACCTCAGCCAAAAACAAGCCAGGAGCGAGGACCTCAGCCGAAGACGAGCCGGAAGCGAGGACATCAGCCGAAGACGAGCCAGGAGTGAGGACCTCAGCCGAAGACGAACCAGGAGCAAGGACCTCAGGTGAGCCAGGAGCCAGGACCTCAGCCGAAGGGCCCAGAGCGAGGACCTCAGCAGAAGAGAAGGGAGCGATGATTTCAGGCTGGCTGGGATCTTCTGCGGTAGAGTGGACCTCAGCTAAAGAGCCAGGAGCATGGACCTCAGCCGAAGAGTCGGGGACCAAATCTGCAGCAGGTGGTGGTGAAGAGGTGGGAGATGGTCAGAGGAGGTTGGCAGATGATCAGGCAATAATAATGTGCTGATGTTTAATCTCTTACAGATTTGAAGATCTCCTTAGGGTCCACTCCAAATCCTTAGAAGAGCCCCAGAGGGGAAACAAGGCCAAGGATCCAACAGAGAGAGGAAGGCTGGCAACTGGTGGTCAACAAGGCACGAGGGGAACCAAGGTGAGGCACGAGGAGAACCAGGACAAGGCACTAGGAGAACAAGGGCGAGGCACCAGGAGAACCAGGACAAGACCAGGGAACCAGGACCAAGGAGGCAGGAACACTGGAAACAAAAAGAGACTGGTAAGTAGATTTACTTAACACTAACAGGTTGTTTTCACACCAGATAGTCCGGTAGACTCGGATCGGGACCGATATTCATGACATTTTGTTACATTTGAGCTGGTGCGTTTGCATTCACACTGCACTGTGCAGTCGAGTCAACCTGTTGAAGTAACCTGGTCCCCCGCTCGCCTGTGGGGGCGCTGCACCAAGAACTACTGAAGACACTTCTTCTTCTTCTTCTTCTGGAAATAAAAACAAAAACTGAGTGGCATCAAGTTTTAGCAGTTTTAGGAGTTACATTTTGTCATTTTTCAAAAATGGACTCAGCATGAGCAGAAGATGAGACAGAAGACCATGGAGAACATTGTTTTTCACACAAGGCAGTTGAAGGCTCCATATGAGGTAAGAGGAATGTGCGTTTGTTCGTCCTGTGCTGTACTCCACTTGTTGCTTGTGGAGCGGGGCTCGGTCTGTTTACATTCACACTGCACTCGAACTGCGCTGGAGTTCTCTTCTTCCGGACCGAGACCTAGGTTTTAGCCCGGGCCAGAGTTCGCCTTTTTGTTCCGTGACAGAGTTCACCTCCCCAAACGAACCGGACTTTCTAAGAAAACGAGCTAGAGTTCGATTAAAGTGGACTAAACAGGGTTGGTATGAATGCACCCTTACAGGCCCGAGACAACACTAGAATTAGATGGTCAATGCTCCAGCGAAAAGTAACACTGGACTGCAGCCTTATGTAGGAGATGATCCTCATCCGGTTGATGGCCGACAGTTGTTGGCAATTAGCGGCCATCTTGGACGAGGAGCTGCAGGCAGTGATTCTCTTACATTTACAAATGGATGGGTGCAGAATCTGCTGATTTTCAGCATCAATGACCAGAAAACCATAGTTCTCACAAAGGTAGGTGAACACCACACACACGTCTGTCAACCTACAGAGACTAAAAACTGCATCACGTTTGGTCATTGCACCTTCAAAATACTACTGTTACCTGTTGTTTATGGAGACTACTGTTACACTGTGATACTATTCTGATTCTGATTGTATTACAGTATTGTGTTTCACTTAGACCACACTGGATAAGGTTTACTTTCAGTGTGGTCTCTAAACAAAACAGTACTGTGACATGTTGTGTCTGGTGATGTTTGTTAAAAAATAAAAAAAACAGTAAAAACTTGCTTGTTTATTTATTGTTTTCGTTTTTGTTATTATTACTGTAGTATTAATTTTACACATTTTGTGTCTTAGGTTTTGCACTCTCAGCGCCTCATTGAACTACCACTT